TGTGCCACCTGGCGTCCTCCCTCTGCATCTCAAGCCTGGACTCAGATTGATCGCATCGTGATCAGCTACCGCTGGCGTGGTTGTGTACAAGACTGCCGCTCCTTTTGGAGTACCTATCTAGACTCGGATCATGCCCTGGTATGCGCCAATTTTACCTTACTTTTCAGTGGACAACGAAGTGACCGCCACCAACGGATTGATGTTAACAATCTGGTTGCAACTTCTGTTGCTAGCAAGTATCGAACCGAGCTAGCTGCTAGGCTAGCTACCATTCCACCGAAAAGTATAGATGAGCATTGGTTGCAATTGCATGACGCCATGAAAATGGCGGGAACAGTCAGTTGTGGGTTCGCGGAACGTCCCGCTTATAAGCACTGGGTTTCTTCTGGTTCCTTACAACTCATTGAAGCCCGTCGGTCTACTCCGGCTGACCGTGAGTTTGACCACAAACGAAGGATGTTGCGTAAGTAAATTGGGCAAAGCTTGCGTAAGGACCGAGAAGCCTGGTGGTCGGAGCGTGCTAATGAGTTGGAAGCAGCAGCTGCATCTGGTAACAACCTGAAGCTCTTCCAACTCATCCGAACCACTGGCAGCAAGAAGTCTGGTGTGAGCGAAACCATCTATGAGAATGAAGGGATGGCAATCACTAACATCCATCGACGTCTTGGACGATGGGCAGAATTCTTCGAAGGGCAGTTCAACTGACCTGCTGCTCCAGCAACTTCGGTCAAACTGTCCTGCCCTCCATGGTCGGTGACGACTGATCCACCAAACGAGGAGGAAGTCCGCAAGGAACTCCAACTCTTGAAGCGTTACGAATCACCTGGTCCAGATGACTTACCTCCGGCTCTTTTTAAAGATGGTGGTGACTTTCTGACTAAGGAATTGACGACGTTGTTTACAAAGGTTTGGGAACTAGAGAGTGTACCAACGTCATGGAATGAGTCGATAGTCGTCCCTATCTTTAAAAAAGGTTCACGTCGTTCCTGTAACAACTATCGAGGGATAAGTCTACTTCCGATTGCGTCCAAGCTATTGGCTTCCGTCATACTTCGTAGGTTGTTCAAAACCCGAAAAAGATTGACTCGCGAAGAGCAGGCTGGGTTTCGTTCTGGTCGAGGATGTATTGATCATATCGTCACCCTCCGCCAAATGTTAGAACACCGTCATACTTATCAAAGGCCAACAATCGTAGTGTTTCTTGACATCAGGGCTGCCTTCGATTCGTTGGACAGGACTGTTCTCTGGGATTGTCTATTGAAGAAGGGTGTGCCTGAGACGTTTATTAACATCCTAAAAGCCCTATATAAAAACACCTCAGGCAGAGTGAGGGCATACAACCACTTCTCTCCATTGTTCCATTCGAGCAGTGTGGTTAGGCAGGGTCGCCCAATCTCACCATTCCTCTTCAACTTTGCCATCGATGACATTCTGGAAACAGCTCTGATGGATGTAAGTAATGGTGGTGTGGATCTGTTGCCTGGAGAAAGACTCCTCGACCTTGAGTATGCGGATGATATTGTCTTACTGTGCGATAATGTTCAAGCCATGCAATCCGCATTTAATCAGTTGGCAATCAATGTCCGTAGGTATGGTATGTGCTTTGCACCTTCGAAGTGCAAAGTACTTCTACAAGACTGGCAGGATTGTAATCCTGTACTCACCCTGCATGGTGAGCAGATAGAAGTAGTCGAGAAGTTCGTGTATCTAGGTAGCTGCATAAGTGCTGGTGGGGGCGTGAGTGATGAGATCGATTCACATATAGTGAAACCCAGAGCGGCTTATGCCAATCTGGACCAACTTGAGGGCCTTCGAGTTGAAGATGTTAGACGACTCTGTGTTCGATCATCGTTGTCTCCGAAGGATTGCTGACATCCAGTGGCAAGACCATGTCAGTAATGCAGAGGTTCGGCATCGTGTGTTCGGGTACAGAGATGATAATTCAATTGGTGTCACCATCTTGAAACACCGACTTCGGTGGCTTGGACATGTTCTCCGAATGTCGTCCCAGAGAATTCCACGTCGTGCATTATTTGCCGACTCTGGGACTGGTTGGAAAAAGCGGAGAGGTGGTCGGTGTATGACATAGTGTCGTGGTGTGAAAGAAAGCTGCAGAGGACTGGCTTCTGTCGGTCCTTCACGACTCCCTGGTTGGGGTCCGAGAGATGGTGCTACACAGTGGCTAGAGAAGTTATCAGATATGGCTCAGAATAGAAGCCAGTGGCGATCCTGCTGTAGCCTTCTTTTACTTTCTTGATAAAAAGTGGTTGTCTTCCTTAACTGAAAGATTTCTTCTGATTGTACCTTTCCGTTCCCTCATTATTACTATTACTACACTACCTTACACCAACCTCTTCGTTATTGTTCCTTTTTTTCTCACGCTCTTTATCTTTTTTTTCTTTTTCTTCAAATTCTCATTGTTTTGTGTGGCGCATATATATTGGCACTCTCTTGTAACAATATTCATGTGTTCAAATAATAAAACTTGTTGGTCATCTAACTCGTTCCAACCTAGTGTCTATTCAGAAAAGAAAGTTCGTACGCAGATATATATATATATATATATATATATATATACGACAGGTTCCTAATGAAACAACAGTATGAATAAAACATTAGATTTTATCCATACCAACACCATTAGTTAAAGAATAAACTGATTAATAGGTCTTTAATTAATGAACAATAAATTAAAGAATGTAATATCTACAACAATAGTTTTTGAACCAAAACAAAAACGTATAAACGACAATACAATGTTCCAAGTATTTATACGAATATTTGTCATTAGTAGAACGAATAGTTCGACAAAAAATAGACGCCGAGTATTTAACATTTATACAGCGAAAATACAAACAATAATTACATTTACTTATTCTTAAATTATCTGGTCCGGTCAGTTTTATAGAATGGACAGTATAATAAAAGAGTATTATACTAATAGCGTTGAGCTAATTAATGTAACCAAACTATGAGTATGACATTGTGTTTATACTGAATTATAGGAAACATGTTCCTGATTAGTAGATGATTTCAGAGTGCTTGATCTGATTCAAGAGTATTTGTGTTGCTAAACGGTTTCTTTCCACGCTAACTAAAATCTCAACCCTAACTCTCATAAGTGTGCGTAGTAAACGGTGGAAAAGTATTATTGAATAATAGTTGATGTCAGGTCGTGACAAACATAAATCATGACACTAACTCAACCCGTAAAACGTAATCCTGACATTTTCTTTCCCTTACTCTAATGGATAATTCAACATATAAGGGTTCATTAATCACGTCGAAATTATTTGACATTTGTAAATTTATCGTCAATTGTCTTGCAGTTAAACACTTTCCTGTTAAGTTGTTCATGATCTTCAGTATAATATACTTTTCCGATAGTGATGTTTGAGTGTACTCATTAAGTTTAGCTTTATAGTATAGTTGAAGTATTTGTGCATCTGTTGTGATTTGCATTCAAGAATGTGTGCAGGATAAAGAAAAGGATTGGTCACGTACCTAAATTAGTAAGAATAATAGATTTGTATAGATTCTCCAAAAGCATTATCTAAATTGTAGATAGTGATAACGTGTCAGCATATCCATCCATTATGTTTACTATCAATTTATGTCCTTCAGGATGTTGCCATCAAACCTAAACAGCTGTATATGCACTACAGGATTAACAACTCCAGATTACTACTACCAAGCTTCAAACCACATGTTGGAGCTCCACACGTTCTTCATATTGTAAGACATATTTACTGTTAGCAATATATAGAGTCCAGGCAATGTTGGATGTCTGAAGCATTCACTCAAGGTAGTTTTAACTAAAAATCATGGTTACGTTAAAATCAAAAGAAAAATGGATGAGTCACCAAACTACGGTTTGAACGTTATGATATCCTTAAGATTTTGTCGAAGTTCGATATCGAGTCTTGGAGTGTGACATCTATTTACTTGAATGGAGTGAAGCGGAAACGTCTGTATGTCTGATATTAGGAAACGGACAACTAAATTTTTCATCAACGGACTGGGATCGATTGCTATTTCGTCCAGCTAGTAGTTTCGCTCTTCAGTAGAACTCACTAGGTATTGTTGCTATTGCAGTTACTAAAATGATGACGACTTACTCTAAAAGTCACTTTTCACGTGATAAGATACCTTGATCTTATTTCTGAATAATAAACTAAGACATATCAAATGGATCCGTTATCATAAAATACAATATTTCGATATGCTTCTTACGTCGACATAAGTAATATATAACACACCTCAGAAGTAGAATACCTAGCATCAGAAGGTTGAGAAGATCGAAGAGAACGGGAATAGAGTAACTGTTGTGGCAATGAAGTTCGAGACAATTGATGGGATATGTATGTATCGTTATTATATTTTATCGAGATATTCTGTAATTTTGTATTGAAATATTATTGTTTGTCCCCAGCCTGTGTTCTCGTTCATTACATGCTTGGAGCTCTGCGTACATATATCAGAACTTCTACTCTAATCTGGTAGATTAAAATCAATACTGCTAAAATCGGCATTGAATAGTGTCTTGGAGGTTTAATAAATACACCAGGCACGTTTTATTACAACTTATTTGTAAAGTGTTAGTAATATTGTTAAAGTAAAGACGAGACGTAAACGGTCATCCAGTGTTTTTACGTTTTTAATGGTGGTCTAACTTAAATCGGATCATGATTTCAATAAAAAAAACGAAGCATCTGTAACCAGGCAGTTGAGTCTATAGCGCATTTGTTAAATAATTTTTCATATCTGGTTTGAATTATAGGTCATTGTTATTACTAGTCGATAAGGGGTGGTAGTTGGGATTTAGAAATGGATAGTTTACTAAAGTTATATTTAAAACCGAACACTAATTAATACACATTTTTAACTTCTCATATAATCTATTTGCAGACTAAATAGGTTATTTTTATGGAATAAATAAACAAACATGTTATTGAATTAATAAATAATTATATTTACAATAGAGAAATACTATTTATCAACTATAAGATAAATGTTCGCCGACTTCTACCAATTTCTGTTCGTTTACGAACCCATTCATAATTACCATATTGACTATCGAAAGTACCTAGTTGAATTGAACGTAATTTCAATGTGAATTTTGGTCCAACTTCATTCATTGCGATATGTTCTGTATTATGTTTACCTTCATTTTCATTATCATCATCGTTATGAACATCAGTTGTATCACGATGTATATAACGATAATGTCGAAAAAAGATATAATCTCTTTGATTATGAAAAACGATTGTTCTACTATGTGGTTGTGGCGGTAAACGACTTTCATTAGGAAATAATGAACTTAAAATACGTTCAGTACGTAGACCAAGACGTGTCATAAAACGTGTAGTAATCAAATGTGGTATTATATTCGATTCAATATATTTGGCTTTTTTAGCTGAACGCATTTCACGACGAAGTAACACATTAGTTAGGCGAAATGTAGCTGTTGGCCCGTTTGGTAAGTGGCTAACTATTAGAGTATTAATTTTTTTCTGATCTTCATTGACAATTATTAAACAAGTGAATTGACGTTCAATAGCCATAGGGATAATTTTTTTAAGAGGTAAATGCCAACGTGCAACAAGATGAACATTTGGAATGACCTGATAATTTATATATGAAATTAGAAACAATGTTAGTTGAAATAAAATGATAGATTTTCTGAAAAAAACTATCTATATATCAGGTGGCTCGGAGACAATGTGCCTTTAACTAAATTTTGTAACTATTAGTGCTTACAATCAACGTGTATCGGTAATCTTACTTATGCCTATTACCTCAAGTGGAGGAAAGGCCGCTCACCAGCATTCTACATCCAACTCTGTCCTGGACAATCATTCCCAATTGTTTCCAGCTGCTATTTATTCTTTTCATGTCTGCTTTCAACTCACTGCACAGTGTGTTCTTTAGCCTTCCTCTTTTTCGTTCCCCTTCAGGAGTCCAAGTTAGCGCATGCCTTGTGATGTAGTTTGATGGTTTCCGTAATGTATGTCCTATCCGCTTACAGTGTTTGTTTCTAATTTTCTCTACAGCTAGAAACTGGTTTGTTCTCTCCCACAAAGGGCTGTTGCCGATATCCGGCCAACAGACATGCAATATCTTACGTAGATAATTGTTTATTGGTAGTTTATTTAGTAAATTAATTGCCCCCAAATGCCCTGGTACGGCCGAGAGTGAGGAGAGTTCGCTCTCCCTCTCAAAATGCTCTCACATAGCCACGCGTATATAGCCTCTGCCAGGTAAGTCCTACTCACTGTCTTCTCGTGGAGGGGATGTTGTTTACGAAATCGAGAGGATGGAAAGCGAACGTCCGGCGCTTTAACCGGGTTGGTGGACATGGAGGGTCCACCTAGGGGGGTTGGAAAACCCTGATTCCAAACCAATGGTGCACATGGGCTCTAGTATCATGAGTAGACAAATGGCGTATGAACTAATCGTTGGTCACCGGCTGCCATGGGACTGCATCTTCTCACGATGCTCCACTGCCTTGTGGATCAGACCTTTGGGCCGAAGGTTCGAGGTGCGGCCCCTTAAGAAAACCACCTGCTTCGGTTTGGGCACCCGGGTAGTATCCCAGCCCTCACACATATCAAATGAGATTTGTGTGGCGTATATGTATTTGGTGCCTCCTTGTACCAATATCTATGTGTTAAGATAAATAATAAATAAATAAATTATTAGTTGTTAAAATCAATAAATTTACAGTTTTAAACTGAACTTCAGAAATATAAATCACTAAATTTGGGTTACTCATGAATGCACATACGTCTTCATGATGATCGACAAAAATGCAAGAACAAAAGTAGTTTTATTTACTCTTCCCCTCTTAAAATGTTGGAAACTAATAAAGTTTGAAACTTAAGTGAAAAAATGTCACAATGTAAAGCAATACTTACCATACTTAGTTCTTTACAAAATCCGATTGTCCTAGGACAAACACGATCAGAATGAGTCAACAAAATTTTAGGAGTAATTTCTCCACTAAAAATAGATGAAAACTCATCCTAGATTAGAGAAATTTAAGAATTTATTTTATACAACATACTGTTTCATGTTCAATGACAACTTCTTCATCATCTTTAGGAACGATTGTTTCATCAACTGTTCTAAGTGATTCAAGAGTTTGAGGAATTCCTGCCGGTGCACCACTTTCTTTTCGTTGTTTCCGTTTGATTCTACGTTCTTTTGCTTTTTGGATCCTTTCCTTGTGTATTATATCTCTAAGATGATGACGTGTAGTTTCTTTACGAATTGGCATGATCAGAAATTTTAATTTATTCAAATTTTGTAAGTATTCAAACACTTAGTGTTTTCTGGATGGATATACACAGTTTACAAAACACAGCCGAAAGAAAACTATAAACATAGAACAATCTAAGAAAAAAGAACACAAGACGGAAAAAAGTTAAACTTTACGGTGGTATGAAACCTTAAAGAAAGAGACTGAGAAGCAAGATTAGATCCTCTAATTGTTAAAGCGACCGCAAAATGTAATTTATTTTATTTAGTTGAACACATAAATATTGGACCAAGAGGTCGCCAAATATATATAACACGAAACAATGAGAATGGCAAGAGGAAAAAAGAAGGTAAGGAGAGCAGAAGAAAAAAAGAACAATGACGACCAGATTAGTGTGAGGTAATGTAATAATAATACTAAGACTAATACTAATAATGCTACTACTACTAAAAATAATAATAATAATAATAATAATAATAATAATAATAATAATAATAATAATAATAATGGGGGAAACTGGAAGGTACACTCAGAAGAAATCTTCCAGTTAAGGAAGACACAACCACTTTTTATCAAGAAAGTAAAAGAAGGCTACAGCAGGATCGCCACTAGCTTCTATTCTGAGCCATATCTGATAACTTCTCTAGCCACTGTGTAGCACCATCTCTCGGACTCCAACCAGGGAGTCGTGAAGGACCGACAGAAGCCAGTCCTCTGCAGCTTTCTTTCACACCACGACACTATGTCATACACCGACCACCTCTCCGCTTTTTCCAACTAGTCCCAGAGTCGGCAAATAATGCACGACGTGGAATTCTCTGGGACGACATTCGGAGAACATGTCCAAGCCACCGAAGTCGGTGTTTCAAGATGGTGACACCAATTGAATTATCATCTCTGTACCCGAACACACGATGCCGAACCTCTGCATTACTGACATGGTCTTGCCACTGGATGTCAGCAATCCTTCGGAGACAACGATGATCGAACACAGAGTCGTCTAACATCCTCAACTCGGACAGGCCAGGTTTCACAAGCATAGAGCAAAACTGCTCTCACCGACGCGTTGTAGATCCGACCTTTTACAGCCAGACTAACATCACGAAGGCGCCAAAGATGGTCCAGATTGGCATAAGCCGCTCTGGCTTTCACTATTCGTGCATTGATCTCACCACTCACGCCCCCACCAGCAGCTATGCAGCTACCTAGATACACGAACTTCTCGACTACTTCTATCTGCTCACCATCCAGGGTGAGTACAGGATTACAATCCTGCCAGTCTTGTAGAAGTACTTTGCACTTCGAAGGTGCAAAGCACATACCATACCTACGGACACCGATTGCCAACTGATTAAATGCGGATTGCATGGCTTGAACATTATCGCACAGTAAGACAATATCATCCGCATACTCAAGGTCGAGGAGTCTTTCCCCAGGCGACAGATCCACACCACCATTACTTACATCCATCAGAGCTGCTTCCAGAATGTGATTGGCATCCCGTCATTCTCACAGATGGTTTCGCTCACACCAGACTTCTTGCTGCCAGTGGCTCGGATGAGTTGGAAGAGCTTCAGGTTGTTACCAGATGCAGCTGCTGCTTACAACTCATTAGCACGCTCCGACCACCAGGCTTCTCGGTCCTTACGCAAGCTTTGCCCAATTTACTTACGTAACATACTTCGTTTGTGGTCAAACTCACGGTCAGCCGGAGTAGACCGACGGGCTTCAATGAGTTGTAAGGAACCAGAAGAAACCCAGTGCTTATAAGCGGGACGTTCCGCGAACCCACAACTGACTGTTCCCGCCATTTTCATGGCGTCATGCAATTGCAACCAATGCTCATCTATACTTTTCGGTGGAATGGTAGCTAGCCTAGAGGCTAGCTCGGTTCGATACTTGCTAGCAACAGAAGTTGCAACCAGATTGTTAACATCAATCCGTTGGTGGCGGTCACTTCGTTGTCCACTGAAAAGTAAGGTAAAATTGGCGCATACCAGGGCATGATCCGAGTCTAGATAGGTACTCCAAAAGGAGCGGCAGTCTTGTACACAACCACGCCAGCGGTAGCTGATCACGATGCGATCAATCTGAGTCCAGGCTTGAGATGCAGAGGGAGGACGCCAGGTGGCACATCGGCGATGACTGTGCCGAAAGTTAGTGCTAGCCAGAAACAGGTTGTGGTCTGTGCACAGTTGCAGTAGACGGTCCACGTTATTTGTCCTGCAACCAACGAGTCTCCATCGCCCACCTAAACGACTCTCTTCTGTGCCTAGATGCCCAACCTGAGCATTCAAGTCTCCGGCTAGTACTACAATATCTGTCGAACGCACTTTCTGGAGAAGAACAGTTAACTGGTGGTAAAACTCATCCTTGATTGCATCCGAGCTGCAATCTGTCGGACCATAGGCGGAGATGAAGAAAAGACATAGTTTCTCACGCCAATTTCTTCTCACTTCGATGGGACTTTCTAATATAACAGCACAAAACCGACTGTTAATTGGGATCCAATCGGTTAGTGCTGCCTCAGCTCTAGCGCTTAGTGCGACACCAACACCAGCAAGACCAGACGGAGATGCCAAATGGTCCCCGGATAAACGCACGTAAAACAAGCTCTTCGAAGCGTCAGATGAAGAGCGAATTTTTAGTACTTCACCATAGTCTTGAATACGGATCTTGGATAGACAACGAACGTCGATATTAAGACATAGCCAGCCCTATCTGTTGTCCGACCTGCATAAGTGTGCGAACGTTGAAGGCAGCCAATTTGAATGGTGCACGTATTTTCAGAAAAACTGCTTCAGTACTCATATTTGGTAGTAACATACAATTTTCAACCAGGCAATGACTCTAGAACGTTTAGATAGAACTGAGTTTCCACCACAGGCCAGCTGCTGTATAAGTCGAAAAATAAGGATACATAAGGTGGGAATAAAAGAGTGAGTAAATGACGTAGCAAATATTAATAATAATAATGTGAATTGTTTGACTGTGAATCGAAGTGAGAATAGAATTTTCAGTAAATATCATCACTTTCATTTTATTTGTGTGTGGGCTGTGATGCTGCCCGGGTGCCCAAAACGAAGCAGGTGGTTTTCTTAGAGGGCAACACCTCGAGCCTTTGACCTAAAGGTGTGATCCACAAGGCAGTGGAGCATCGTGAGGAGATGCATTCCCATGGCAGCCGGTGACCAACGATTGGTTCATACGCCATTTGTTCCCGCAGGATACTGGAGCCCATGTGCACCATTGGTTTGGGATCCGGGTAAAGCGCCGGACATTCGCTTTTCGTCCTCTCATTTTCGTAAACAACACCCCCGCTGTGAGAGGGCAATGAGTGGGACTTCCCTAGCAGAGGCTGTATACGCGTGGCCGTGTGAGAATATTTTGTGAGGGAGAGCGGACTCTCCCCACTCTCGGCCGTACCAGGGCATTTGGGGGCATGATGGTAATATAATTTATTAGCATTAAATAAAACGTCACTCGGTAGTCTTACCACATAAACTTCCTAAAACATCTGGTTCATAAATAAAACGAGGATTTTTTTACATAGATATGTACCAGGTGAGTTTTAAAGTCACCACCAATCAGCGTTCCATGTTTCAAATAAATGATTGCTTGTCATGAGTAAAAAATTATCAGTCAACATCAACCAACGAATTTTTATTGAGGAAATAGCAGCTATTTGCGGACATTTCCGTTTCAACAATGATAAGTTTAATTATGATATTTATATATGCTACTGAGAACTGTTCTGAGCCCTTATTTTGAAATTTAATTCCGGTTTGTGTAGTAGGGTGATGTAAACACTTTTATTCGGAATAGCCATGAGCTTAAATATGTGATGTTTACATCGAATTGCAAACTAATTAACTGAAGTCAATGACAATTGGAAACCATTTTAATAGGTACAGACTACCTGATTAAGGTCCATATGATTATCGCAAATAATGGTTAGAATTGAATGACATGGGTCAAAATCGCTTAAAATGGAGCAGGTGCATCCATTCTTTGTCTTTCCACAAATCCAAAGATTCTAAATCCCTTATAAATTTTCCGTTTTATCTCGCCAATTCATACATTTTTCGAGGCGCATCTTCGAAGTCTAATGCTAACAGACAATCACGGGTGGATCACGAGGTATGGAAAGGTAATGCAAATGAAAGTGAAAACGAATTAATCCGTTAGTGTACGATCTGGTCACTATTTCATGCAAAGGATGGCAGACCATGAGTACTTACATGGTTGTTGATTTTCCTATTAGAACTGACTAAGAAGTGGGGTGTGGACACGTATGTTGAAAGAGTGTTTCAGATAGGACAAACCCGTTGTTGCGTATTTGTTCTTTGGTGTGTAACTTGTCGAGGATTACTTCATGCGTTGGAATGACGGGTTTTAGGAAGAACTCTTTTTCGGTTGCGTGTGTTACTCACTAGGTTATACATTCTAGTTAAGTCCCATTACGCAGTTGGTCACGGAGCGTGATGGGGATACTCCTAAACAGTCGCTTGGTTCGTCTCGTTCTAGTGAAGGGATAGAGGATTCTTGGGCGTATGAAGCATCTGGCTTGTGATTATATTTAATATTATCGTGGTGTGATCGATATTCACTGAGTGTTTTGACATGGACGTTCTCAACTAGAAGCTAGTCAGTCGCAGTAGGTAATCAAGTCTTGATGGACTATCGTCCTCCTTTCAAATTGCGTCGTCACCTATTGCAGTACCAACCAGGGTTATTGAAGATATTATGGGAAATATAACTAGACCTCCGAAACCCACTTATCCAACAATCATTACCAGAAACGCATGCAGTAATGAGTTCAATATTTTGGCGAAACCAAGGAACATAGCATAATAACCCCTCTCGAGACGAGCAACGAATTCCTCACCTACTTAGAAATGACAGGTCTTTATTGACTACTTTCCTACACAATCATGCCAAGCAGACATTCAAATGAAGCACGCTACAATAACACCTAACTCCTCGAATAGCACTACTGAATATATACAAAGGCAACA